TTTTATAGAACTAGAACAAAAAATCTTAAAATTTGTATGGAGACACAAAAGACCCCGAATAGCCAAACCAGTCTTGAGGGAAAAAAGTGGAGCTGGAGGAATCAGACTCCCTGACTTCAGACTATACTACAAAGCTACAGTAATCGAGACAATATGGTACTGGCACAAAAACAGAAATATAGATCAATGGAACAAGACAGAAAGCCCAGAGATAAACCCATGCACCTACGGTCAACTAATCTATGACAAAAGAAGCAAGGATATACAATGGAGAAAAGACAGCCTCTTCAATAAGTGGTACTGGGAAAACTGGACAGCTACATGTAAAAGAATGAAATTAGAACACTCCCTAACACCATACACAAAAATAAACTCAAAATGGATGAGAGACCTAAATGTAAGACCAGACACTATAAAACTCTTAAGGGGATAACACAGGAAGAACACTCTTTGATGTAAATCACAGCAAGATCTTTTTTGATTGCCTCCCAGAGTAATGGAAATAAAAACAAAAATAAACAAATGGGACCTAATGAAACTTAAAACCTTCTGCACAGCAAAGGAAACCATAAACAAGACGAAAAGACAACCCTCTGAATGGGAGAAAATATTTGCAAACGAATCAACGGACAAAGGATTAATCTCCAAAATATATAAATAGCTCATGCAGCTCAATATTAAAAAAACAACCCAATCCAAAAATGGGCAGAAGACCTAAATAGACATTTCTCCAAAGAAGATATACAGATGGCCAAGAAGCACATGAAAAGCTGCTCAACATCACTAATCATTAGAGAAATGCAAATCACAACTACAATGAGGTATCACCTCACACCAGTTAGAATGGGCATCATCAGAAAATCTACAAACAACAAATGCTGGAGAGTGTGGAGAAAAGGGAACCCTCTTGCACTGTTGGTGGGAATGTAAATTGATACAGCCACTGTGGAGAACAGTATGGAGGTTCCTTAAAAAACTAAAAATAGAATTACCATATTACCCAGCAATCTCACTACTGGGCCTAAACCCAGAGAAAACCATAATTCAAAAAGAGACATGCACCCCAATGTTCATTGCAGCACTATTTACAATAGCCAGGTCATGGAAGCAACCTAAATGCCCGTCGACAGACGAATGGATAAAGAAGATGTGGTACATATATACAATGGAATATTACTCAGCCATAAAAAGGAACGAAATTGGGTCATTTGTAGAGACGTGGATAGATCTAGAGACTGTCATACAGAGTGAAGTAAGTCAGAAAGAAAAAAACAAGTATCGTATATTAACGCATATATGTGGAACCTAGAAAAATGGTAAAAATGAACCAGTGTGCAGGGCAGAAAGTGAGACACAGATGTAGAGAACAAACGTATGGACACCAAGGGGGGAAAGCAGCAGCGGGTGGTGGTGGTGGTGTGCTGAACTGGGAGATTGGGATTGACATGTATACACTGATGTGTATAAAATGGATGACTAATAAGAACCCGTTGTATAAAAAAATAAAATTCAAAAATTCAAAAAAAAAATTAAACAGCTGTTAATCGACAATTGGCAGTTTCAGTGGAGAAAGCATATAAACAGCATTAGTGAGAACTATTGCATTACTTCCTGTGGTACCCACTTTTCACCCAGGACCCACTCTCTCCCTTACCTAGTCTTTTGTCTCCCTCTTCTACACTTGTTTTTTCTCTGCTCCTCTTTCCTCCCTCTATCCTTTTCTCTGTGCACTTTCCTTCCTCTCTTCAGCTTTCCTACAGCCTCGTGTCTCTAGTTTATCATAATATGGAAGTGAAGTATTTCTTAGAACTTGATGCTTTTATTAAATGAACAATTATATTTTCTGCTTTAAGAGTAAGTGATCCATATATATGGAATCTAAAAAAAAAAAAAAAACTGGTCCTGTTCTAGGGGCAGGACAGGAATAAAGATGCAGACGTAGAGAATGGACTTGAGGCCACAGGGAGGGAGAAGGGTTAAGCTGGGACGAAGTGACAGAGTGGCATGGACACATATACACTGCCAAATGTAAAACAGCTAGCTAGTGGGAAGCAGCAGCATAGCACAGGGAGATCAGCTCGGTGCTGTGTGACCACCTAGAGGGGTGGGATAGGGAGGGTGGGAGGGAGACGCAAGAGGAAGGAGATATGGGGATATATGTATACGTATAGCTGATTCACTTTGTTGTACAGCAGATACTAACACAACACTGTAAAGCAATTATACTCCAATAAAGATGTTAAAAAAAAGGGCTTCCCTGGTGATGCGGTGGTTAGGAATCCGCCTGCCAGTGCAGGGGACACGGGTTCAAGCCCTGGTCGGGAAGATCCCACATGCCACGGAGCAACAAAGCCCGTGCGCCACAACTGAGCCTGCGCTCTAGAACCCGCGAGCCACAACTACTGAAGCTGCACGCCTAGAGCCCGTGCTCCGCAACGAGAGGCCACCACAATGACAAGCCTGTGCATTGCAACGAACAGTAGCCCCCATTCGCCACAACTAGAGAAAGCCCGTGCACAGTAATGATGACCCAGCACAGCCAAAAAAAAAGAGGGCTTCCCTGGTGGCGCAGTGGTTGAAGTCCGCCTGCCGATGCAGGGGACACAGGTTCGTGCCCCGGTCCGGGAAGATCCCACATGCCGCGGAGCGGCTGGGCCCATGAGCTATGGCCGCTGGGCCTGCGTGTCCGGAGCCTGTGCTCCGCAACGGGAGAGGCCACAACAGTGAGAGGCCCGCATACCGCAAAAAAAGAGAAGTGATCATAGAAAAGGTCTGAAAGGATACCTTCCAAACTCTGAAAAGAAAAAGTGTGTGGAGGTAGGGGTGGAGGAAGCGTTCCCTTTTTCCTTTATGTAACTTTTGCATTGTTTCAATTTTTATAAAATCTTGTATAATAAAAACATTTAAGTTGAAAATGGAAAAGTTATGAGGTAAAAGAGACAAAGGATAAGAAGCCATGCACACCTTCTTCACACTCCGATTATCTTGCCCAAGCAGTTTCAGGATGAATTTGGGAAAACTACTGGCCATACTGTGAGTGCACATCTGAGAGCAGTCCATTCATCAAACTTCCTAAGTCACTCTGGTTCTGAGAAATGCCTAAAGAGATGAATCTAGACCAGGAAATTCAAGTTCCTAAATCAATCCTGGTCTAAGGAAAGCATTAGAATGGCACGTCAATCACAGGGCTGCTCCCAGGGTTTGAGTCCTCGTTGAGAATAGATTGAGGATACGCCTAATAATTTTATATTGAATAAACTCCAACTATGTAAGACAATGCTGTCCCATAGAACTATAACAACAGCCATATATGTAATTTAAATTTTTTTCTAATAAAATTTGTAATGTTTTCTAATATCCACATTTTAAAAAGTAAAAGGTATACATGCACTGCAGTACATCAACAATTTGTTTTGTGATGCAAGAGTTAAAGTAGTTCTACCAAAACAATCAGGTTCTGTTCAATGGCAAAAATATTTTATACTGCGCTTCAGTTTTTAAATTGAAATGAACTAAAATGACGTAAAATGTAAAATGTAGTTTCACACTAGCCACATTTCATGTGCTCAACAGCCTGATGTGGCAAAGTGGCAACCTAACTTTCTGATACTTCTCTGCATCCTTCTGAATCAGAGTGTCGTGCATCGATCAGCACTTGGGCATCACCTGGGAGTCTCACCCGCGACTTACAGAATCAGAACCTGTATTTAACAAGGCTCCTAGGTGATTTGTATGAGTACTGAAGTCAGAGAAGCATGCTATGAGTCACTAGTTCTGAAAGCGGCTGCAAACTGGAATCATCTGGAGAGCTTAAAAAAGACCAACGCCTGGGTCCGAATTCCAAAGACTGTGACAACTGGTATGGGACAGGGCCTGAGCATTTAGATTTTTACCAGTTCCCCAGGAACCTCTAATATATATGGATTACTCATATATTCTAATTTATTTTATATATAGCTCCTAGTTTAGGGCCTGGCACATATCAGGCAGTCAATAAATGACAGTAATTATATAAAACGTGGAAATCTTGAGACCTAACTATGAACAAATCTTATACTTTTGATCATTCAAATTAAGCAAAAATATAAAATAGTTGAAAAATTTCTCAACATATAATTACAAAGGTATCTTGTAAACAATTTCTAAAAGCATGAAAATGTATCAAAAACCCACCTCGGCTGGGTGCCAGAGGATTTAAAGGACGATAAACAGATCGAGGCCTGAAAACGAAAATACAAAACTCAAACGTAAAATGGTTTGACATTTTGATGTAATTTTTTCCAAGAGAAACAAGTATTCCCCTTCTTCCACCCTCCCTCTAGTCAATCCTCCTCTTTCCCCTACCCCCTCCAGTTACTTGAAACAGTTTTCTTCGTAGATGCTGTTCCACACTCTCCACGCAGAGGGCCCTTTATAGCCAGTGTAACGCTCAGGATTCAGCAAAAGGTCTACATACTGAGCAGCTGGAGATCTCTCATCTGAACAAGAAACAATTCATGAAACCATCCACATTTCACTATTTATCTAAAGTTTACCATTACAAAGCAAACAGGACTATCCAAAGGTTAGAGAAATGCTACGCTTTCAAGTCATCTCCAACTTAAATGGTACAGTGGTTAGCACGCTTGTGACTGTCCTTGACCCAGGACTTAGAATAACTTGAACTTGAGAGAGGAAATGTAACTAACTACTCCCTTTCTTTTGGACGCTCAATGCCCTCTTACGGAATGTAACAGGCTTTACCTTATTAGAGGCATTAATCATTTCTTAAGTTTTAACCACTAGGACTGAAAAGACCTAACAGAATCATAACCTGTTCTTAATATTTTATGTGATTGCCCCCCCATGTATATATCTACCTAAACACATACTTGAAACATTTATTTTGTTTGCATATATTGTATCCAAAAAAAAAAGAAAAGATTTCCCTGATACTTTCTACTTGGACTTAGGAAGTAAATGGTGTAGTAACTTTGTGATTCAAATTCGATCATTCATAGAGTTACACAATGTTGTAGTAAAAAAAAAAAAAAAAGTTATAATTTATTTTTACCAATGTTAATATATTGGTTAACATATTAATTGGTTAACATATTGGTGAGTAGGCACAACTTCAAGAATTTATTAACACATTTAAAATTAAATAACCATTTTCTGTGTTGAAACTCAAATTAGTATTTACTAGATCTCCACTATTTGGACAACATTTGGTAGAGATCTCTGGGGGATACAAAAGATAAAGAAAAATGGTCTTAATGGTCACATTCTGGGTAGAAAAGGGAAGCACACGCTTTGCGATCTACAGAAAAATTATAATGACTATGCTTCACACATCTATGCTAATACCACCTATAAGCTGAAATGCTATGTATGTTGGCATGGATGTATTCTTTTATGTATATGCGTCCTAATTTTTGGTGTCACGGTATTAAATCAATGGTATATAGACACCTGACTTGAAACAGGGACAAACATGGGCATTAAAATATGGGCCCTCTTGCTTTCATTACCTATCAGTCAAAAATATTCATTGGCCATTCAATGACCGTAGAGTGAGATGATCCATAATCTTAAGGGAAAAAAAAGCAGCATCCTGATCCATACCCTTCAAAAACTACCTGATACTTTTGTGATGTATAAAGAGTACAAAGATAATCATAACTTATCATTACTAAATCAGTGGTGTCTAACTTACAGACAATGAAAACATGATTTTGAAGAATACTGGCTCTACCAGCACTAACATTATATAGATATTCCACTAAATAAGTTAAAGCACAGAAAACGCTAACTTACAGATGGATGAACAGAAACTGTTGAAGGACATTTACTGATCAGGACTTAAAACAATAATTTAAAAAATCTTAATTGAAAAATAAAAATTCATATCATTTAGTTAATAAAATATGGATTTTACAGTAAAATTTTAAGTTTTACAATTCACTAATTTCTGTAATATATTTCAAATTTCTTTGAGCTGTTCTCAAGTTCACTTGCAAAATTGACTCAGTTATGTATATAAGCTTTAGAAATATTAATATCATAAATATATACCCATTGACATATACATGTATACACACATGTATAAAGAACGTATGTGCACACACATAAGCCTACACTTACGTACAGTCATCTATGAATGTGAAGATTGAATTAGTATCAACCTCTTCGCCCAATTAAACAACCAACAAAGAAAAAAATAAAACCCTGGATTCAAATATTCAAGTATATGGATTTAAAAGATACTCTAAGGGAGTAGAAAGTCACATGAGTAAAATCAATTATATCAGTTTTTAAAGTACTTAAGTAAACTTACGTTCTTAGTGTGTATTCCCTTAATTCCCAAATCAAAAGTTGTTTTAAAAAATTTAATACTTTTTCAAATCATGAAAAAGGTGTTTTGTTAACCTACAGAAGGTATCAGCAAACTATGGCCCACAGGCCAAGTCTGGTCTGCTGTGTATTTTTGTAAAGAAAGTTTTATGGGAACACAAGTCATGTTCATTTGCTTATGTGCCACTTTCACATTATTATGGCAGAGTTGAGCAATTGTAAGAGAGACCATATGGTTCACAAAGCCTAAAATATTTACTGTCTGCCCATTTACAGAAGAAAAAGTTTGTCAACCCCTGACCTATACTGACAAGAATTTCATGACATCCACAGTGAGGAACGTATGTGGGAGAAAGCATACTCAGGCTGAGGTTCCCTATAAACACACCCATCCTTAGTCCCAGGGCCACCTGTGACAGGATCATAATTAAATTGTTCCCAAACTATAACTTCTTTCCATTTGTACAGCTGTATCATACGTTCAGGTAATGCTCTTGGATCCCTATTAAGTCCTCCCCTCAAAAAGTTTTCTCTTTTTCCTCCCTCTACAAACCTGCTCCAAAGCTATTCTTTCTTTTTGACCATGCTAACCAATACCTAAGGATTCAAAGAATTACTACTGAATCAAAATACCTAATTCTGGGAATTCATCAACTTGAACCAATATTTTTTCCTCCTCCTCAAGTACACCTTTTTTCCCCAGTTGAATTTTCTTTTCACTGTCCTAATTTAGTGTTAGAGTTACGAGGCCACACTGCATGCTCTATGGTGCCAGGCATCCTTCCCACCTTCTAACCCATATATCTCTTAATACGTAATGGTTGCATAGGACAACTTGGCGTGTAAGCTTTTTGCTTACGGACACAGACAAAAAATATAAGGTTACAGACTCAGGATTGAGTCTACAAGCCTCCATCTCCAACGCTACCCCAAACTGCCACTAACGCACTATTAAAAACTTAATTTCCTCAGTCAAGGAGAATCTATAGTTTATAAAGCATCCAAGTAATTCTGATACACAGGCAGATTTAGAAACCAGTGTTTTAAGCAATATTTTTAATGTATCAATGAACCTGTTTTAAGGGGAAAAATAAAAAGTAAAAATCTATCACACTGTTCAGGTTATTTATGAACTAACTACTTCATTGAGCAAATATTTACTGGGCATGAACCATGGCCAGGCAGTGTTCTAGGCACTAGGGATACAGTCGTGAAGAAAAAGACACGGTCCTTGCTCTCAAGTCACTCACAATCTAGATGAAGACAGACAACATACAGATAAACTAAATAGTGTTTCTCACATAGTTCTTAGTACTCTGGGAGCAGGCAGCAGTGCAAAGAGATAGAAAGTGAAAGTGGTTACTCTTTTATGACAGCAGGCTTCTCTGAGGAGGTGACATTTGAGCAGAAACCTGAAGCAAAGGAAGCGGCAAGCCATGCATAAAAATATCAAAAAAAAAGAATAGAGGTAGGGAGAGCGGCTTACCTTAAACCACTGAATTATTTAAAAACCTATTATTTGATCTATGAGGATCATCTTTCCTTTCAAATAATGATAAAACCAAAAACAAAACAGCAGAGAGCAAGGGTGTTTGACTATATTCCAATAACTGGGGTGAATATTCTTTAGACTTTTTGTTTTAATCCAATGATTTTTTATTTTATTTTTAATATTTATTTATTTATTTAGCTGCATCGGGTCTTAGTTGCGGCATGTGGGATCTAGTTCCCTGACCAGTGATCGAACCCAGGCCCCCTGCACTGGGAGCACAGAGTCCTAGCCACTGGACCACCAGGGAAGTCCCTAATCTAACGATTTTAGATTACTGAAATAACTAAACAATGACTCCAAAGCTACTCTGATAGTATTTTTTTTCAACTGTAGGTAAAAATCTTTGGGACACACATGAACATTACTACCCAGGAGAATCGTGGTAATCCAACTAGTAGCATGGTTTCACGTGTTTAAGAATTACATAAAATATAAAAACAGGTGGCACAGCGGTTAGGAATCCGCCTGCCAGTGCAGGGGACACAGGTTTGAGCCCTGGTCCGGGTAGATCCTACATGCCGCGGAGAAACTAAGCCCGTGCGCCACAACTACTGAGCCTGCGCTCTAGAGCCCACGAGCCACAACTACTGAGCCCACGTGCCACAACTACTGAAGCCCATGCGCCTAGAGCCCATGCTCCGCAACAAGAGAAGCCACCACAGTGAGAAGCCTGTATACCACAACGAAGAGTAGCCCCAGCTCGCCACAACTAGAGAAAGCCCACGCACAGCAATGAAGACCCAACACAGCCAAAAATTAATTAATTTAAAAAATATAAAAACAACTAGTTATTTTAATATGTAATCCTAAAATTTTTAAAGGATGATTTTATGGAAATTTTTATAGGACACCTCTTCCACTTTTACGATTTAAGAAGCTACTACTGAAAAATTAATTAACACTATTTATACTGATGACAGATAATAGAACACATCAATTTAATCATGGCAAGCAACCTCTACAATTGAGTAGTATTTTTTACTAAATACCTAAAGAGAAATATATACTCACAGAAATGATTTTTTAATCTGAAAACCTGTTAAATAAGCACTATCCAGAATATTTTAATAAAAGAATACATGAGAAGTTGGAAAGAAGTGACTATGAGTGTTAAACACTCAAATATAATTAGATTGACAACCAAAAAGCAAATGAGAGCAGTCAGTCACGTGAGTGCTTACCCAGGAACAACGGTTTGCTCTGATAAAACCGTTGCCAATTCCAAATATCATAATAGGGGTATTTATGAATTGCCCATTATCATATCGAAAAAAACTTTGTTCAGATTTAACAATTTCCTTGCTGAAACCATACAAAACATAGTAATAACACTCCCTCTCCCAGCATCTTCTCAATTTACCATACTATTGTAGAAGCGCCCTGTAATTTATTCCATTACAGACAGCATTAAAAACACAATTCTACATAAGAATCTTTAAAACAAGTCTTTAGAAAGCAAACCATGCCAGATGCTTTAAAAATTCAGAAGAACTTCTGCTGCCTGTTTTCAGTTATGCATGGTTGAACCCCAAATTCTTTTCTACCACCAGAAAATAACAATACCGAGGTAAAAGGTAAAGAGAGGCCAAATGAATGATTTAAGCCTACTCAACACAATTATTGGGAGTATTCTCCTATAGATAAAAAATTTTGAGTCACGTCAATTATTTTCTGTTAAAAGAAGTGGTAGTTACTACTGAACTACCATTTATTCCATTCCAGGGGACTCTTGGAAAGAGGGCTGTGGGGAAGTCAAATTAGAGTCCTCCACGATGTTGGAAGGTGTCTTTATGTTAGTTTGTTGAGACCTCCAACTAATTCGAGTGTGAACATTTCTATAACATGGTCACAGATCTATAACTAAGTGGCTTGAATTAGAGGTCCATAGGAGGTGGGGTGTCACAATGGAAAGAAGACAGGTTTGGGATTCAGTCAGATCTCGGATTAAATCCTGTCTCAGCCTCTTGCTACTGTGTGATCTTGGGCAAGTTACTTTGTCTTTTTGAGACAGTTTCCCCAGATATAAAATAATACACACCTATTAGGGTAGTTGTAAAGCTAAGAAATAATGTACTTAAGGCACTTAGCACAGGGCCCGGAACATCGGTTCTCAATAAACACCATTATGAATAATAAGATCCACATACAACATCCTGTGTCTTTAAGCTATAACTCTGACTGTAACTTCACTGATTTAAGGGTCTTAAAAGGGTTAAAGTTAAAATAATGTAATTACAATAGTTTCTTTTATTACCATCAAGTTCACAAAAGTGATCCTGTGAATCATCATATCTTGCCCAGTCAATGAAAGCTTCTCTGCTTTGATTACTACGGGAAGGAGGAATAAAAAAGAAAAAGGATTAAATCTGGAGTTGAAAACTTTAACACTGTATTCTAGTGTACTAAAAATAGATAATCTGAGATCACGTCTTTATTAATTAGATGGTGTTACAAATTCAGTTAGCAGTCACATGAAGGAATGATTAAAACAAGTTATATGAAAGACATATTTATTTCTGTGAGTGATTTGTATTTAACTATATTAAAACTATTTTAGCCCTAGTTCAATGATAACTACTTTGACCAGAAAACTAACTTACAAATATATATAAGACGTAGTTAAACACGAAATTCAGGCTGGTCTTTTTAACTGACTTAGAAATTGTAGTTAACTATGTATTATTTTTCCTAAATTAGGAATTAAATTTACTTTCATAATTCTTTTAATTTAAATTGCTTCTCTACTTATACAACCCAAAATACTAAAAAATGCATTTCTAGGATCTTCCATCCAATGTGCTATTCCCTAGAAACACCAATGTCACTTTCATCACAGTATATCATTCATTTTACACATTATGTCACATTTAACAAAATCTATGTTCAAGATTTCTTTTTTTTAATAAATAGATTTATTTATTTATTTTTGGCTGCATTGGGCCTTCATTGCTGAGCGCGGGTTTTCTCTAGTTGCGGCAAGCGGGGGCTACTCTTCGTTGTGGTGCATGGGCTTCTCAATGCGGTGGCTTCTCTTGTTGCAGAGCACAGGCTCTAGGTGCGTGGGCTTCAGTAGTTGTGCCTTGCGGGCTCAGTAGTTGTGGCTCGTGGGTTCTAGAGTGCAGGCTCAGTAGTTGTGCGCACGGGCTTAGCTGCTCCGCGGCATGTGGGATCTTCCTAGACCAGAGCTCGAACCTGTGTCCCCTGCATTGGCAGGCAGATGCTTAACCACTGCACTACCAGGGAAGTCCTATGATCAAGATTTCTGACCTGGAGGACTGATAAAGGAACAACTACACTCATTCAAATAAACTTTGACCTATATTCACTTTAACCTATATTCAGACCTTCTCTGTCTTAAATACATGATGGTAGCATATATACCATCTTTATTCCCTAAAGGAAAAAAAATGAGGCAAAAAAAAAATGACGTACTAAGTATAAATCAGGTATTCATAAATGTGGTACTGTCATAGCCAATAATTTATTTTGTATTTGAGAAGCTGCTGCATAGCATAACGACTACAGGAAGTATATAAGGCTGGCTGCACTACAACAACTTTACCAATAAAAATTTCCAATTCAATTTACCATGGGACTTTTTTTCTCCTATGGGAATATATAACTTCATAAAAGTTAATGGAAAATTTTATATCATAGGTGACTCAGTTGAAATATATGATGCCATAAAACAAGAATGCCTAAGCTCTAGTTAGAGCTAAAATGATAACTACAGTTATGTTTAATCAGATAAGTCTTCTGCTGAAAATAGTAAAGAACAAAGCAATTTTGATATAAATGCCTATTTTCTTATGAGCAATATGACTAACTTAGAGGAACTTTCAGCACACTTATTTGATGAAGTTTTCTGGATTGTTTCATCTAACCCTTGCCTAAACCATGGTAGCAGAAAAGATATGGAATGTTAACCTAATGCTAATAGAGCTGGCCCAGTTTGGTTTATAAACAAGTTATAAGGAACCTTAGAGGTCATCTAGTCCAGCTTTTCTAAAAGTCAGTATGGAAAAAAAAAAAAAAAGTCAGTATGCAGATGGATGCCACGGTACTTAAAGAAGAATCTCTTGGGCTTAACCTAGGGTTTTCTATCAAGACAGTGCCGTGAGTTAAAGTAGTCATCTTTGAAGTGGGAAACAGGGACAGGAAGGGATGGGATGGAGGGATCACACTAGGGCATGAGAAAACTTTGGGGAGTGCAGACATAACCATCTTGATTGTGCTGATTTTTGTGAATGTACACATGTCAAAACATCACATTGTACATTTTGAATAGGTGCAGTTTACTGTGTGTCAATTACACTTCCATAAAGCTGTTTAAAAATTACACTACCGATTGTCGGAGAAGCTGTGGAATGAGGAACTCCTGTACACTACTACTAGCGGCAATGTATTTTGGTACAGTCATTTTGGAAAACCATTTGGCAGTTCTTAATTCCGCTCCTAGGTATATTCGCCACAGAAATGCATGCCAAATGTACCAGCAAATATCCACCTAAATATTTTGTGAAATGGCCAAGACATCCAGCATAATATTATTCAACATAATGTTAAATAAAATAAGCCAGATACAAAAGAATACACACTATATTATTCCATGTATATAAATGGGCAAAACTAATCTTTACTAACATAACTCAAAATCATGATTAACTCTGGAAGGTGGTAATGGCTAGGAAAGTACATAATGTGATCTTCTGGGTAGCAAGTATATTGTTCTGGATGGTGACTAATAGAGCTGGTTTACTTTTGTAAAATTAAATTGGCCTTTATACTTAAGATTTGTATACTTTATTATGTGTGTGTTAAACTTAAAAGTTTAAAAAATTAATAACTTCAGTTTAACAACAAAAATCCATAAGCAAAATTAAAAGACAAGCCCTAACAACCCATACAGGCAACAAAGAATTATTATCAGATTATATGAAGAATGCCTACAGAATAATTTTAAAATGCACCCCTTCTCCAATGGAGGAAAAGATAGCAAAGACTATTAACAGGCAAGCTACCTCAAAATCTTATGATAACTTAAGGCCCAGTCCCTGGATCACTTCTCTATTTATATTCTCTCCTTGGTAATCTCACTCAGGTTTATGGTTTTTAAATATCACACATTCACTGAATGACTCCCACATTTTATCTATAGCCCAGACCCCTCCCCTGAAATTGAGACTTGTATATCCAACTGCCTGCTGGACATTTCACAGGCAGCTCAAACTTAACAAGTCCAAGGCTGAACTAAAATTTCCCATCAAACTTGCTCCTCTGGTAGGTGCCCCCAGTTCAATAAATGGCAGCTCCTTTTTTTTTTACAACCAAATCTTGTAATCATTCTTAGCTCCTCTCTGTTTTCATACCCTACATCCAATCCTTCAGCAAATACTCTCAGCTCTACCTCCAAAATCTATCCAGAATCTGACCACCTCTCATCATTTCCACTGCCATCACCCCAGCCTAAGCTAAGCCACCGTCATGTCTTACAAGGATTACTACAATAACCACATAAAGCAGGCTTCCACGACATAACACCTGGCTCCCCACACACTCTCAAAATCCTCCAGTGACTTTTCATTCCACTCAGTTTTAAAAGCAATATTCATAATAAGTGTCTTCAAGATGCTACAAGATCTCCACCTCACCTTACTCCTGCCCCCTCCCATCCCTAGCATCTTCTGATTTTGTCTTCCATTCCTTTGTCCTTGTTCACTATACTCCAGCCACACTGGCCTTGTGCTTCCTCAAGCAGTCTAGGCAAGCTCTGGCCTCAGGGCCTTTTACTAACCATTATTCATGCCTGGAATACTGTTCCCCACCCGCTACATGCCCAGGCAGCCATATTATGACTCAGGCCTTCATGAACGCTTTGCCTGTTATCACTCTGGCCTTCTTGGACCAACAATTTAAAACAGTGCAACCACCTTCACCCCTAGCCCTCTCTCTCACTCTTCCCTGCATCATTTTTCTGCCTGGCACTCATCATCATTTTATTACTTAGCACTAACTTTACTTGTTTCTTGCACATCTCTGCCTAGGATTAAGCTGCAGGAGTGCTGGAATTTATTTCCCACTTACACCGCTATAATCCTAGAATAGCACCTGGCATATTGTAGGCATTCGTTTGTTGAATGAATAAGAAACCGGAATGCCCAATAAACAAGAGGAAACAATGCCCAAACTCACTAATAATCAACAAAATATAATTAAGGAAAAATGAGATGCTATTCCACACTTATCAAACATTACCAATTTTTGGCAAAGATGTGGAGAACAAAGCAAGTTCTCAGTGCTGGAGGCCATACATAGCCACACAAGTGTTGTAGAAAAGCCACCAGGCTATATGAAGAACAGCTGCAAGAGGGCAAGCTTAGGGTTCAGCAATTTTATTTCCAGTGTATACAAAAAACATTAGCAAGGATGCTCAAGGTGGCATAATTTGTAGAAGTAAAAAATTTGAAACAACCTAAATGGCCATCAGTAGGGGAATAGATAAGCAAAATATGGCATATTTATATGATGAAAACCATTTATCAGCTAAAAAAACATAGAGATTTGTCTCATTCTGACATGGATGTATCTAGAAAGCAAAATGTGCAGTGTAAAAAGAGTTGCAGAATGTTAATTATCACATTATATCATTTACATAAAGGAAAAATAAAATCATATACACAAACCATATATATATAAATTAAAAACAAAAACATGGACTTGGATACATACCAAATTCAGTTATCTCTAAGGAAAAAGGGAAGAAAACAGGATTGGGGAATAAACATAGGGGATTTCAAATTCATCTTTGGCATTTCTCTTTTCTCATAAACATGGTAGAAAATGTTAACATTTATTCATTTGGAGTAGAGGATATATGGGTGTTTATTATATTATCCTTTCTACTTTTATATATTAGAATTTTTCATCAATAAATAAGATACATAAAACTACTAACTTTATTGTCTTTAACAATTATAGTACATAATTACAAATCTTAACAGGGAAATTAAAAAGAATTTCTGTAATATTCCCTTCCCCACTCACAACTACAGATCTGCTCAGTCATTTTACACTGCATAATCTGAGACCACTTACAAATTACTCATGTTGGCCTTCAAAAGCAGGTTTGTACTTAGAGCAAATAAAGTCAACAGAAAAAAATATCTATGAAACGTTAACAGTTATGTTAATAGAAACCTTTACCGTTCAAAATGTAACATATAGATTGAATTACTATTTTAAAAAGACTTAGAGATTCAAGTTCCTTTTCCCATAATAATCAGGAAGAATGGACCCATAAACCCTGCTAAATGAGAAATCACCTAAATTTTCCCTTTTTAATAGTCATTATTGATGACTTAGAAATTTCAGAACGAATAAGCTAAGAGGAAGCAAAGCTATCATGAAATTTAGGATAAAGAGTAACTTTTTCCTTTCAAAGATTAGTTGAAACTTTAATGTTTAATCAAAATCACAAGAAAAACCAAAGATTTTTATCATAAATAAATTAAACAAGGGAATATTTTCTTAATACTACTAAAATGAAATTTACCTTAATGTGCTGTTAATTGCTCCCAGTTTACTAGCTTGTTCACAATCTTCTAATTCTTTGGTATTGTTTGCCACTTTCAAGTACTGAAAAGAAATTCATAATATGTAAGTTTAGTATCAATTATTACCTTTGTCTTTATTTCAGGTTCCATTGGCAGAAGAGTCAGTTTGTCAATGATGATGTATACTAAATATAGATACATCCTATTATCAGAATCCCTAACACATGGAAGAAATGCAAATGAAAATGTGTCACAAATTTCCACCTAATAAATAAGCAAAGACATTAAAAATGTAGCAATTTGCATTGGTATGTTGGTGATGATGTGAACTGAGAAGACCCTCTTGGGAAAGTAATTTAACAATATTTATGGAGAGCTGTAAATATGAATAAACCCTTGAGCCAGCAGTCCCACTGCTGAATCCATATCCAGAGCAACATTTAAAAACAAAAACCAAAACCACTTTAGAAAGTTATTTGGTACTCTCCTGTAATGTTGAGATAGGCATCCCCTTTGGCCCAGCAATCTTACTTCTAAATATAGACCTAGAGAAACTCTTACATATGTGCACAATTCGACGAAAGACAAAGATGCCAGTGCGTCATTGTTTGTGATAGCAAAAACCTGAAAACAACTGAAATGTCCATCAACAGAGGAATGGCTATTCACACAATTATACAAATATCTATACAACTGAATATTTTGCAGCTATTAAAATTAACAAAATCTACATATATTAGCAGAGACAAAATTTCAAAAGCACAATACCACGTAAAAATGTAAAGTAAAAAAAATGTTTTTAACTTAAAGAAATACAAAATATAATATTAAAAATTGTTTTAAACTTTGTATAACAGATCTATATATTACTTGTGGATACATGTATAATACAATATAAAAAGTATCACAGAAGGATAGACATCAACTTCAGCAAGGTGGCTAGCTCTAGGGAGGAAGGAAATATAATGGGATTGGGAAGGAGTTCAGAAGGGATTTCAATTGCCTTTATACTATTTATTGTAGATCTGAAACAAAAATAAATAAAAGAGGGAGTGTAAACCAAAGACTGCAAAGGTAGAGAGCACAATAAAATGGAGAGAGGATGCATAGGGAAGCAGAGAGAGAGGGTAGGATGATCTTTATTACATATGTATGATAGTGAAAAGCTAGAAACACACTGTTATTTAAAAACATATGAATGGCCAAGTAGATTATGACATACCCCATAAGAGGAAAAGGATAACCTTTTAATGCCATTGAAAAGTACTATGCTCAAAATATCTTGATAATTGTTTACTCTTATACAATATAATCCTGAATATGACCGAAATAGTTGAAAACAGCTGAAACAGAAGAATAAAAATACATGCCTGACAAAATGCCTGTTGATTAGGTAAACTGACACTGACTACAGTACTTTATAGTTATTCTAGAAGTTCTAAAAACAACTAAAGTATTTCAAAAGAAGCTATATAGTTTAATTGTAAAGAATACACTACACCTCACTGCTTGCTACAAAATTAAGGATTTGGGATTCTCAGACTAAAATGTGTCCATTCCTAACTAACCACATCATGGTTCTCTTCAGCAACTACAACAAGCAGTAAGGGGCAAGTTTCACTCTGTAAAGCAGAAATATTTAATGAAGAAAAGTGACTCACCTTATTAGAACTCCCAGCTTTAATTCCAACTGGAATTTTACTCTTAAAAGAAGAACAAAAACAATTTAGAAAATGATATTTTCATTTTTTGAGATTTCTTCATGAATTATTAATGCCACTGTTCTAATTCAAAGGCTATTTTATTTTAGTCCATGAGGAGAAAATATACATTCATTCAAATTCTGTTTTCATACTACCTCCTGAGGTGAAAGGTAAACAACTATCCCAATTTACAGACTTGTAAATCACAGTATAGAAAACTGAAACAAAGAGTGTCAAAATCAGCTCTAATAACTCTCAATGCAGTAATTAATAGGTTACATAATTTTTAGGTTTAAAAAAAAACCTAGCGAAATCACTTTTTCCATAAATTTTCTTTCCACAGAAACAACTTTTTAAAAATTAAAAATTATTTGAAATATATTATGCTTAATTTAAATTTCTGCTCTAAGTTGACATCTGAAATTTACATACTTTTGAGTTAATACTAGAAAGCAAGATTAAGTTCTTTGCCAGACCTGTGGTTGCCAAGGGGAAGGGGGGGTGGGGGAGGGATGGACTGGGAGTTTGGGATTAGCAGATGCAAATGATTATATATAGGATGGATAAACAACAAGGTCCTACTGTACAGCACAGGGAAGTATATTCAATATCCTGTGAAAAAACGAAATGGGGGCTTCCCTGGTGGCGCAGTGGTTGAGAGTCCGCCTGCCAATGCAGGGGACACGGGTTTGTGCCCCGGTCTGGGAAGATCCCACAAACCGCGGAGCGGCTGGGCCCATGAGCCATGGCCACTGAGCCTGCGCGTCCGGAGCCTGTGCTCCACAACGGGAGAGGCCACAGCAGGGAGAGGCCCGCGTACCACAAAAACAAATAGAAAATAAAATAAAATAAACAAAATGGAAAAGAATATGAAAAAGTATATATACGTATAACTGAGTCACTTTGCTGTGCAGCAGAAATTAACAACATTGTAGATCAGCCACACGTCAATAAGATTTAAAAAAAAAGTTTCCTTGGCTCATATGATTAACCTAGGGCTTACCAATCTAGGTAATCTAGGGTTTACCAACGTAAGAACTTCACGTAGGTCTTTCTTTTCTGTAAAACCAATAATTAGTTTCAGGCTTAAATAAATCTATGAATTATTACAGCTGGTTTATCAAACACAATCGAGCAAAAATCATATCTGAAAGAGGCAATCCCAGGTTGATCCTCTGATCAACCCAGGGAAATGATTTCCAACATTTGAATCTATGGGATATCAAATTAATTGCAAATTACCCATTAAAACTTTTTCATGTTTCATAGATAAAGTTTAGTCAAATATTCAGAATAAATATTTTTCTGTCAGGCTGAAGAATGTAAATAATTGATAAGAAATTTCCCCCCAATATCATATAGCTAAAACGTTACTTGCTGCCAATATTTTATCATCTCAGTGTTTTCTAGCACCACTAACAGAAGGTAGAAGAGAGAAAAGTATAAAACTCAAGTCAAATGTAGCAGTTATAGTTATCAGACCCTGAACTTAAAATATGGAATACTTATTAAAATGCCCCCTCATTACTGTTGTCCTCTAACAAGTATAATATGCTAAAACTAAAGTACTAGCAGCTTTCTAAAAGGTTTGATGCTGAATGCAGTAACCTGACTTAAGCAAATCTTAATACAGGCTATTGAGAAATATGGGGATAGGCACCACAGATGATCATCATGAATAACATAAAAATCACAAAAAAGAATTATTAAAAGTAATGATAGGGGACTTTCCTGGCGGTCCAATAGTTAAGAATCTGCCTTGCAATGCAGGGGATGCCGGTTCGATCCCTGGTTGGGGAACTAAGATCCCACATGCTACAGGGCAACTAAGCCTGCACGCCACAGCTACGCAGCCTGCACTCTAGAGCCTGCAAGCCACAGTTACTGAGCCTGCATGCCCCAACTAAGACCCGACGCAGCCAAGTAAATAAATATTTTTTAAAAAGTAATGATAAATGTAAAGTTAATAACTAAAATCAAACATGAAATAAACCTAGTTGTTACCACTAACAATATGAAGCAATCTGCAAATTACAAAATTAAGTGAGCCTCACGATTAAATTAGACTTCAAGTTACAGAATGCAAATTGTAACTCTGTATCATGACAAGTTTGGGTTCAATATGAAACGCCTACTGAATTTTCCCCAGAGAGAGAAATACAAATATCCTCACATTAGTTGAAAGAACCAACATAAAGGGATAGTTTTCATCTCTGGAAGGAAAGGAAAGAGAACGACACTGGGAAGGGAATAGACAGAAATTTTTAAATACTTATGTTAGATTTCTTATGTTGGGGATTTACATGCAAATAAACACCTTCATTTATTCTTATTAGAAATTTAAGACTACAGAGGATAATCCACTGTAGACAATAAATGATTATTTTAACATAAAAACAACTTAGAGGGGCTTCCCTGGTGGTGCAGTAGTTGAGAGTCCGCCTGCCGATGCAGGGGACACGGGTTCGTGCCCCGGTCCGGGAAGATCCCACATGCCGCGGAGCGGATGGGCCCGTGAGCCATGGCCGCTGAGCCTGCGCGTCCAGAGCCTGTGCTCCGCAACGGAAGAGGCCACAACAGTGAGAGGCCCACGTACCGCAAAAAAAAAAAAAAAAACTTAGAAACACATATTGTGCAAAACCAAGTAACTCTCACAACTGAGCGATAAAAAGGCAACTCAATTCAAAAATGGGCAAAGGATTTGGATAGACATTTTTCTGACAAATATATACAAATGGCCAATAAGCACCTGAAAAGATGCTTGATATCAGGGAAATGCAAATCAAAACCAAAATGAGATGCCATTTGTAAGCATGGCTAAAATAAAAGACAAGACAGTGTTAAGTGTTGACAAGTATGTAGAGAAACTGGAACCATGATACATACATTGCTAGAGGCAATGTAAAATTGTACAGCACAATGGTAAGAGTTTGGCAGTTCCTCAAGAGTTAAAGTTACTATATGATCTAGCAATTTCACTCCAAAGTATACTTGAGAATTGAAAACATATGTCCACACAAATATTTGTGCCTGGATATTTATTCATTATTCATAGTAGCCAAAAAGTAGAAACAACCCAAATGTCCATCAACTGATGAATAAACAAGATGAGGTATATCCATAAATGGAATATTATTTAGCAATAGAATGAAGTACTGATACATGCTACAACATGGATGGACCTTCAAAACATTATGCGAAGCAAAAGAAGTCAGTCACAAATGACCATATATTGTATGATTTTATTTACATGAAGTGTCCATAATAGGCAAATTCGTAGAGACAGAGAGTGGATTAGTGGTTTCCAGCAGGAGGAGGGAGTAGGAAACAGGGTGACTGCTAATGGGCAGGGGTTTCTTTTTTGGGGTGATGAAAATGCATTACAACTAGATAGTGGTGATGGTTGCACAATTCTGTAATGTACTAAAACACTGAATTGTGCACTTTAGAATGAGTGAATTTTATGGTATGTGAAGTATGTCTCAATAAAGCTGTTATAAAAAAACATGATGGTAACGATATATATTGACATAAACATAAAATAAATAAAGAAAAAGCTCTCACTTGCAGTAGAATGCCAACTAATAAATGTAGAAGAAATGGAATCAGAAAATCACTATTTGACAACTATCATATAATTAATTCACGCAAGAATCATCAATGGATGCTAAAACTTATGATGGCAAAAATATGATAAAAAATGAGATATTTTCATAGTTCATAGTCTCAAAAAATTTTCCCACTTTACCATGAAGAAATATGGCAAACACCACCATAACCACATGATCAAGACGACATCACGTGCCTCCTGATATGGCACTGAGAAGGACACATCACTTCTATGGTGTACCTGCCCAAAGTGCATGACCTTAATCTAATAATTAGGAAAGACCAGGAAAACCCCAAATAAGGGGGATTCTACAAAATAACTGGTGTATTTTAAGGAAGGGAGGGAGGAAAAAAGGAAGGAAGGGCGGGAGGGAGTTCATTAAAGTCAAGACAACGAAAGACAAAGAAATACTGAGGGACTCTTCCAGATTAAAAGAAGACTAAAGAGATGTGACATCCAAATGCAAGGCACGATTCTGGATCAGAAGGTTTGTTGCTGCTACTGCTGCTCTGAAAACACCTCATTAAGTCAACTGGCAATGGGTGCTTAAGGTCTACAGAGTAGACTTTGGTATTGCAGAAATGTTAATTTCCTGATTTTGCTAATTATGCTGTGGTTAATAATCTTGTTTCTAAAGAAATACACACTGGAGTATTTAGGGGTAAAAGATCATCATGTTGGTTACATACCTAAATGGTTCAAAAAATAATAATATATACATATAGAGGGAATAATAAAACAAACTTGATAAACATTAACATTTGGGGAATCTGGATTAAAAAGTATATGGGAATCGTTTGTACTACTCTTTCAACTTTTCTGTATGTCTCAAATTATTTCAAACTAAAAAGTTAAAACATTTTATTCTTAAAGGAAAACGTAAATAATTTTTTAAAAAATTTTCCGTTTAGAAACAATATTGGTTCAGATGTTTTTTTTCCTGTTTTTAAAGGCAAAAAAACTAGACTTACTGGTTAGGTGAGAAAAGCAAAAAGTAAAATGGAAATAACTAATTACAGTTGAAGAGGGATATAATTAATTATGCTAGATGTCAAAAAACGAAGTCTAAAATGTAGCTTTCCCTTACTAACAAGTACAGCCCTTTCCCCCCCACCCAATGTAACAAGACCAATGGAAGATCTAACTCCAAGCCTTGAATTTCCCAAGTTTTTGCACTCTATTTCCCACTCTAAATTTGTAACTTAAGGTGCAGTAGCATCTTCTTTGCCCATGAAACAAGATGCAGATTCAGTGAAGCATGAAATAAGAGCCAACTGCAGATCCAGTCCTAGAACAGGCCTCCATTTTAGAATCAGACTATGTTTCCACATCCAGTCACCAACACCACTGCATACAAGACTGTCTACAAACCCATTTTGGTGGCAAGTACAGAATAAATCTTCTGTAATCTGGTTAAAAAGAAGAGAGCTGAGACCATATGAACTTGATGACAAGTCCAAATGCTTTGACATTAGCCTAAAATGCATAGTTCGTGCTTATCTAAAAGTCTAAGAGAAAGCATTTCTTCTCTCAATTTTTAAAAATTTGATTTTACCTCTGGACAAGGCTCTACATGACAGTCTTTTATTGAACAATGGCCATCTTCTGCCCAGAAAGGACACGGTCGCTTCAGGTTGACCTTGAGAGAAAGAATGAATGAGCATTAGTCAGGGTGTGTCACAGTCCTGCACTGCTAAGTATCACTGTGCTGGGCTCCAGGGACCCAGTGGTGAAGGAAAAGCATCCTATCCTGAGGCATCTATATAGCTCAGAAGTTAAAATGACTGAAGTTTTTCAGACATCCCAGGTATAATACTTATTTTTTAAAATAAATGACTGCTATTAGTCCTCTGACACTTCAAAAAGGAATAAAGTCCAGGCACACTGCTCATCTGCAGAGCCTGGACAGCATTTCGGGACACTCTAATGTCTCCTAGCCCCTTACCATCACCTCACTGACTGAGTTCTCCCAGGCACCCACTCACTTAACAGATGTGCCCTGAGCACCCACTATGCATCAGGCACTGTGTAAGCTCTAGGGGAAAAAGAGGCAGAAAAAGCGCTTTTCCCCTGCAAGTTACAGTTTCCTGGAGGGAACAGAGATTATATATTTGCATGTTCATTTAATTACAAATTGTTGCAAGTGCTACAAAGGAAAATCAGAGTTCTGTGATGGAAAATAACGGGGCTGGTGGATGCAGGTCTCTGAGGAGGTAGTGTTTTAGCTGGTGGAAGCGTGTATGCGGAAAGGTGACAAGGCGCTGACTTAGTTTAGCTGACTTTTAGTGGGGAAGGCGGAGGGTGACAGGGAATGAGGGTAGAGATAGGCAAGATCATGCTGGACAGTTTACCACGCTACAAACTCTGGATTTTCATATTCTAAACCTAACAGCAAGACGGTAATTCAATAGGACATCCACATGCGTTGCCCAAGCCAAAAATAAAAGTTTTATTCCTGTTTCCTCCCTTTTTTATCCCCTGCAATCAATTGATTACTCACTTCTCACCACCTCTTCTGTCACCACCTGCCCCTGCCCTGACTACTGCGAGTCTCCCTACTCCTACCACCATCTATTCTCTACACAGTAGCCATAATCATCTCTTTGAACCAACTCAGAGCATACCAATCCCTGCTCAAAACCATCCCGTGGCTTCCTCTCACCTTTAGAGTAAATCCACAGGCACTCCATCGCCTGGTCCACCTGTCTGACCTATCTCCTCCCAAAGTCCTCCAGACACAATGGCCTTGCTGGAGACACATCACCTCCTTCCTGTCTCAGGGCTTTACGGTGGCTGTTCTCTGTGCCTGTGCTGGTGGCTCCTCCAGGTCTTTTATGGCTCAATCCCCTCACCTCCTCCAGGGCTCTCTCAAATATCACCTCAGCAGAGAGACCTTTCTGACCAGACTCTCTCAAGTAGTGCTCGATACGCACCCCACATGCTGTTTCACATGCTTTTATAGCACTTATCACTACTTGAATATTATTTATTGTCTGCACCCCTGACTGTAAGGATGGGCATTTTGCCTGATTATTTTATCGCAGTGCCTAGCACACATAATAGACACCTCAGTAAATACATGCTAGGTGAAGTAAAGAATAAGCACATTACAAGGAAGAGGCAAAAAGAGGTAGAGACTGGCAACATGAGGAGAGAGTGGTCAACTGTGCCTGCAGGGTCTCAGGAAGGCCTCCTTGGTAGCACGTAAAATGGGTATGACTAGAAGTTTCCTAGAGGAAGAGATTTCTAGGCACAGGGATCCGGATGTCTAAAGGCAAAGAAGCTTAAGATCGCCTGGCACGCTTGGGAATTGCAGGTTCCCCTGAGCTCCTGGCTTGTAAATCCACCTCCTCCCTGGCATCTCCACAGGACACACACAGGCACCTCAAACTTATTATCACCTCCCAAACCGTGCTCTACCCTCTAGTAATTCTTGTCATCTCAGTAAACAGAAACTCCATTATTCTAGTTCTTCAGGCCAAAATCATGGCATCATCCTTGACTCTTCTCTTTGTCACCCCACATACGATACCTCTGAAAATCAGCTCAGTTCAAAATCCAATTCAATGGCTGAGAACCCCTTCCGTGGGCTGGTTCCCTAGTTTCCTGCCCCTTCTGTTGTTCCTCAAATACATGAGGCACACCATGGTCTCAGGGCCTTTGCTCTTGCTGTTCCCTCTGCCTAGAATGTTCTCCAGATATCCACATGGCTTGCTTTCTCATTCCCTTTTAGGTCTTCCTCAAATGCCACCTTCTCGGTTTGCTTAGGTTGCTAAATTTTAGGCTAATTTGTTACGTAGCAATAGATAACTAATACACAGTGTTAAGGAGTGGGTTGTGATAGACGCTGCAACACACTACTCAGGTCACCCTTCAGGAAGGAAAGGCTCAACCCCAGCCCTGGAAACACTGCAGCCAAAGAGAGCCACTTTGCCCAAGGTGGCACCACCCCTTCCTACAATGCCCTTCATTCAATGACTGGCGTAAGGATATAAAGGCCTAGACATCCCCCTGAAGTAGGGACAGCTCTGGAGGGTTATCCCATCTTAAGAACTACTGGCGTAAGGATGACTGGCGTAAGGATATAAAGGCCTAGACATCCCCCTGAAGTAGGGACAGCTCTGGGGGGTTATCCCATCTTAAGAACTACCCCCCCAAAGGGTCACCTGAGGTTTCTCTGAGGCTGCATCACAGCTTTACTTCTCCCTTTGCCCAGTCCTGATGTCCTCCCTTCCTTTTCCTTCCCTATGTTGTTGGTTCCAGGAGTTGTCCCTAATTAACCTCTTGGACACTAATCACTGTCTCAGAGTCAGCTTCCCAGGGAACTTAACCTGTGACAACTTGTCCGGCTCCAGAAAAAACTACATGTATTTTTATTGGGTTCACATTAAATTTATATATTAACTTGGGGGAGAATTAACATCTTTATGCTACGAAAGACGTCTGTCCATTTGTTCGAGCCTAGTTTTATGTCTTTCAGGAGTGTTTATGAGCGTTCTTCCTTTAGATTTTGCACATTTCTTGATACATTTATTCCTATATATCTTTTTTTTGCTAATGGAAATGGGGATTTCTTCTCCATTATCTCTTCTAACTTGTTATTGTTTATATTTATGCAGATATTGATTTTTCAATATTAAATTTATAACCTGCTATCTTAATGCATTTTTTATTATTTGTGTTCATTTAATAATTTAGAGTTTTCTAGGTCTACTTTGTCATTTATAAACGGAGATAGCTTTATTTATTCTTTTAAAATTTTTATGCTTCTAGTTGCTTTTTCTTGTTTGACTATACTGGCCAATTTGGTCCAACAGTAAAGGAGATAGTAGGTACCCCCTCCTCATGGTTCCTGACCTAAGGGAGAATTGCTCTAGTGTTTCCCCAGAAGTAAGGTCCTGGCAGTGCTGATGTTAGGGTTGAAATTATCATGTTAAGGAAGTATCCGTCATTCTTACTTGGTCAACGTTTTAAAAAATCAGGAATGTGTACTGAATCTTATTGAAGACCTAAAAGCCTCATCTTTACATTCTTGGAATGAAATCCACTTGGCCATGATATATATATTTTACTTTTGGTAACATGCTCAAAACTTAGGCATCATCTTTGAGTTCACTTTTACCCTCACACCTTACATTCAATCCATCAGAAGAGCTTGCTGTGTTACCTTTCATATATGGCACTAATTCGATCATTTTCACCTTTTCCAACTCTACCAGCCTATTCCAAATCCGTATCATCTTTCAGCTGGACTACTGCAATAGCCTCAGAAGTGCTTTCTCTGTTTCCTGCCTCACACCCATACAGTCTCTTTTGTCCAAATTCCTCCAATAGCTTCTTATCACACTTTGGATCCAAAAGCCTTACTGTGGTTTAAAAAAACCCCAAAAACTACAGGGCCTTATTAAGTCATTGTTTAATTCTCAAATTTTGATTTAACTGCTTAGATGAAAGCATAGGGGTTTTCTTGTTTGTTTGTTTTTGGCCACCCCAAGTGGCTTGTGGGATCTTAGTTCCCCGACCAGGGATCAAACCCAGCCCTTGGCAGGGACAGCGTGGAGTCCAAACCACTGGACCACCAGGGAATTCTTTTTTTTTTTTTTTTTAATCTGGCCCCTACCTACCTCTCCAACTCTCCCTCTCATTCACTTTCCTCCAGCTATACTGGTCTTCAAACACTCTGCGCCTTTATACCTGCAGTTCAACTCCCCTTCCCTGGAATGTTCTTTCTCCAGATTGTCACGGGTGACTCTTTCACATTAGGTAGGTCTTTGCTCAAATGGCACAGCAGGAATGTCTTCCTTTCCTGACCACCTTCTTTAAAATAGGGCTACCTACCTTCTCCATTCCCATTATCCTCTAACTCCAATTTTATTTTTCTCCATGTAATTTCCTATGATTATAAAGTAAATGCTATTTTATTGTTTCCTTGTTTATTGTCTGTCTCCCTAATCATATAAAAAGTTTCATAAGGTGAGAGGCTTTGTTTTATTCACTATTGTATCCACAGCACCTAGAATACACTCTGCTACAGAGTAATTATTCGATAAATACTTGGCAAATAAAGGAATGTAACGGATAGTAGAAGAGAAAAAATATAAATACAAGCTACAGCAGCCAAGTGACCGGTTGATAGAGGTAGACTGTTACTTCTACCTGTATTTCCTTGCTTGCTGAATCATAAGCATGTATGTGTGTTTAAAATTAACCTCTTCTCTTATCTTTCCTCTTCCACCACTAATGTACTCCACGTCAAATTTCCTTTTTTTTTGAATTCACAGGTTGACAGAACTACAAGAAGAGTAGATAGCACCCACATATCCTAGACTTGAAGATAACTGGATTAACTAGATCATTGCATTACCCTCCTTTGGGAAAGGGTACGAATATATTCCGGTTACATACACAGTAATTTCATTATGTTGGTTGGAACATTTTTTAAATTGCATGTATGACGATGAATTGTATGTTGGCTAGCCAATGACCACATTGTTATTTTTGCCTACTCAACTTCCATTTTTCCTCCTTCTGTAACATCCCCTAATTTCTCTTGGAGAAACAATATGCAAATGCAAATAGGACTATTAACCAAATTGTCCTTTGGTCAAGTGGTGGGGTTATATGACCCTGCCTAGACCAATTTAGACCCTCTCTCCCAGAAATCTGACTCTTGTGTAATATTAAAATATGGGAAAATGGTTAATCTGATCCAAAATTTTGGCAGTATCATAAAGAGAATGGCCATTAGTTCCTGTTATAATTTCTGTCTTTTCTGAAATATGCTTCTTCAGCTTATCTTTCAATTTTGTGAGCTGCTCCACACCTTTTCTTAATAAAACTTCTCTTTCGTTTGTAAGCCAACAAAAGTACCCTACCTTAGGATACCTAAACCATTGTTTACTCTCTGGAAAATGTGGATAATGTTGACCTAACAGGATTTCAGTATAAAGATTCAATGAGATATTCATTCATTTATTCAAATATTTGAGTGCCTACTATTGACCAGATCTATGGGGATACAGAAACAGAAGATATAATCCCAAAAGGTAAGTGTGAAAGAGTGAGGGCCATGACATATTGAGTGGATATGTGATCTGGACGTTCTGTGAAGGGATGGTCTTTGATAGAAGGAACACTTCCTTCTCTGTATTAGACTGAACCATATGAAACTGGCAACATTCAACCATTCTGATCTCTAAAAGCAACAATTTCATATGGTTAAGCCTAGCAGCAGAAAGGAAGCAAGAGAAAGCAGTTACAAATGCAGACAGACTTATAGACATAGGAGTGGGAATCTGAAGAAGCTACTGGAACCTGTGTTGTTTGTATGTAAAATGTCTAGAATGTTAGACAATAGTTTGCTTAGGTATAGATTTCTTTTTGAAGTAAGTTTATGGCAACTGTATTCCTAAAGGATTTTGTATAGAGGAGAAACATTCACTTTTTTGTATATTCTTGGGGCTGATGGGAAAAGGGGATGGGTTCCCAAATCTTTAGGTCTTGACTTTGTTATCTTTCTGCACAACTTACATTATTTGGGAAGTTTTATTTTTTAACCTTCAAAAATATTTAAAGGACTGGGGACTTCCCTGGTGGCACAGTGGCTAAGAATCCACCTGCCAATGCAGGGGACATGGATTTGATCCCTGACCTGGGAAGATCCCACATGCCGAGGAGCAACTAAGCCCATGCGCCACAACTACTGAGCCTGCGCTCTAGAGCCCGTGAGCCACAACTACTGAGCCCGCAAGCCACAACTACTGAGCCCAAGTGCCACAACTAGTGAAGCCCTGCGCCTAGAGTCCATGCTCCGCAGAGAAGCCACCGCAATAAGAAGCCTGTGCACCGCAACGAAGAGTAGCCCCTGCTCACAGCAACTAGAGAAAGCCCGCACACAGCAACGAAAACCCAACGCGGCCAAAAATAAATACATAAATAAATGTATGAAATATATTTAAAGGACTAAGATAACCTGTACAGTAACAGGATAAAAAAGGAAATCATGCTTACTTTTTAAGATAAACTAAAAATGAAAATCAAAGAAATTATAAACCCAACCAAATACTGAGAGCAAGAACACAACAGCAGCTTTTAAACCACTGTTCTTTTGAATTTGTGTTATTGCTACTGCCTTTAAACTACCATTGGTTATTCTGAAACGGTCCAGCGTGGACTATTGTTAGACTTAAGAACCAATTCTGCAGTCTTACTATGGATGGTGTTCTGCTTCTATCCTCAGGCTGCTTTGCCACCTGTCACAGTGAGCTACCCAACAAATGCTGCTGTGGAACCGTGTACCACTAACAACGACAGCACACGACAACGCCAACAGCACAACTCAGAGCCTGGGTAGGTGTGTCTAGATAACAGAACCTAAGTTACAAGGGAGACTGATAAAATAAGTCCTGGGCATTTTCAACTTCTTTAGAGGAAGGAGTCTCTGCCTCAAAACCCAAATTGAACAATGAGAAATTCCCCAAACATAAGAAGGGAGTTCAGATTCTTAGGGTTCAAAAAGACTAATAGGTTTTCACTGCAATACTTAATACATTCCAATGATAAAGGATACACACAGGGTGCTGAGTAGAAATGGGTCTCCAAAAAAGTCGCAAGAGTCGCACCTGCAGAGAGCTATATAAAAATCTTTAGTACCAACGGAACCTGAAATTATAACCATACCTTGTAATAACGGAAATAGTCTCGTTCTTGCAGCTTTTTTATTTTGGGGAAGATTTTGAAGGTGTTGAAGTTATCGATGCTATCAACATCACACAAGCAGTCATCCAGGACACCGGTGACCTAGGGGGAAACATGTATATAATTGAAAAGATGTAAACTACTGATGTTTCAATCTTAACAAATCTGTACTATTACATAAAAAGCTAAATTATGCATTCAACTTAGTTAGTATTTGCTGATTAAGATATATAACATTTAAATCAGTCACTTTTTTACAATGGTCAATTAAATAAAAAGCAATAGAAGGATTAGATATACCCATTCTGAAGAACTAAACATTTTGTTCAGCGGTCAAAAAGAAAGCTATTGAATGCTTTCTCCCTTGACTAAACATATATAAAATCCAAATAGTCATTGGAATGCTAAGGCAACTTCTTCCAAGATTAACCTAGAAATCACAGGCTGTAATAATATTGCTGTAGTAACTCTTTCTTTTAGACTGTCATTTATGGAACACTTACGTGACAGGCATGATGCTAAGACCACTACATATGTTAACTCATTTATTCTTTAAATACCCTAAGAAATGGTATTATTATCCTCATTTTACATGTAAGGATATTAAGGCTTAGCAAGGTTAAAATAATTTTTCCAAAGTAGACATGAGACTTAAGTCACAAGTCTATTGCACTTTAAAATCTATGCTTTTATCCACTACTCAAAGTATACATTAATCGAAGAGAAATTGATATTTACAAAGTGAGCTGAGTCTAAAAATTCCATAAAACATTCTTCAGCTAAATTTAAAAACGGGACTCATTAATATGCACAACTTGGATGAATCTTTATGGAATTAAGCTGAGTGAAAAAGCGCCAATCCCAAAAGGTTACATACCACATGATTTCATTCATGTAACATTTTAATAACTTTATTTGATTTTATTTATTTTATTTTTGGCCATGTTGTGTCTTCGTTGCCATGCACGGGCTTCCTCTAGTTGCATTGAGAGGGGGCTACTCTTCGTTGCGGTGCACAGGCTTCTCATTGCGGTGGCTTCTCTCGTTGTGGAGCATGGGCTCTAGGCACGCAGGCTCAGGAGTTGTGGCTCGTGGGCTCTAGAGCGCAGGCTCAGTAGTTGTGGTGCACGGGCTTAATTGCTCCGTGGCATGTGGGATCTTCCCAGACCAGGGCTTGAATAGATGTCCCCTGCATTGGCAGGAAGATTCTTAACCACTGAGCCATCAGGGAAGCCCGATAGAACATTTTTGAAATGACAAAAGTTTAGAAATGGAGAACAGCTTACTGGTTGCCAGCGCTTAGGGACTGGAGAAGGGGATGGGAGCTTGATGGGGGGAGTAAGGTAGGAAGGAGGTAGGTGTGGTTATAAAAGGGCAACAGAAAGGATCCTTGCAGTGATGAAATTTTTCAGTATCTTGACTGGTGGTGGACACACAAACCTATACATGTGATAAAAGAGTACAGAACTAATCCATAGGTACACAAATGAAACAAGTAAAACAGATACACATGATTGTATCAATGTCTATGTCCTATTTATAATATTATACTATATGTTTACAAAATGTTACCATTGGAAAAAACTAGATAAAGGGTAAATGACATTTTTACGTATTATTTCTCACAACTGCATGGAACCTACAATTATCTCAATTAAAATTAAAATTTAAAAAAAATGGGACTCAGCCTGTTAAAGGTTATTCATGTGATCCACAAGAGGAATATACGCAAAGAACGATCAAAAAATGGAAACTTCCCAGTTGTTTCTGTCTCACGCTTTTTCCCTAGGAGTATAAATGTGTCACCAAACTCCCTACAACATAAAGAGTTAGAGCTATATTATCTTGAGATAAAGAAAAAGAATCATTATCAATAATTGTGGCTCAGAAGTTCTACTATGCTTTGCTATCCCACTTAACTAAGATCCTGTCACTAACTCCACCAAATTTCATTCCATTGCTCTGAGCTTACTGCTTACAAAACTTCAAATTCTAGGCCCCTAAATAATAAAAGTGGGGAAAAGAGGAAACAAAATACACACCAAAAATCTTTCTAGGCTTTAAAAATATTTTACCCACTGACTGCTCATTCTTACAAATTCTTCTTAAATTGTTAACTTTTAGTTAGTAAACCACAGTATTTTTAAAAATTTTAATTGCGTAGGGGCTGGAGTAAGGCATACAAAATTACCGTGAACTTATTTCCAACTGTTAAAGGCTACTACTAAGACAAACACTGTATATAACCAAATTTTAAAAAATAGAAATTAGACAGGAAGAAGAAATAAAAGGCACCCAAGTTGGAGAGGAAGAAGTAAAATTTTCACTATTTGTAGATGACATGATATTATACACAGAAAATCCTAAAGAATTTTAGACTAAACACTGTTAGAACTAATAAACAAGTTCCAGGATACAAAATCAATACACAAAAATCATGTGTAGTGCTTCCATACACTAATAACAAACTATCAGAAAGAAATTAAGAAACAATTCATTTACCATTGCAACAAAAAGAATAAAATAACACCTAGGAAAAAATTTAACCAAGAGGTTTAAGACCTAGAAACTATAATTTATTATGGAAAATATTAAAGAAGACACAATAAATGGAAGGCTATTCCATACTCATGGATCAGAAGAATAGTGTTAAAATGTCCATAGTACTCAAAGCAGTATAAAGGTTCAATACAATCCCTATCAAAATTCCAACAGCATTTTTCACAGAAATAGAAGAGTCCTAAAAATTTGTGTGGAATCATAAAAGACCCAGAACAGCCAAAGCAATCTTGAGAAAAAACAAAGCTGGAGGCATCATATGCCCCAATTTCAAACTATATTACAAACCTAGAAAAACAAAAACACACAGACCAACAAAACAGAATAAAAAGCCCAGAAAGAAACTCATAAATATACAATTAATTTATGACAACAGAGCCAAGAATACACAATGGGGAAAGGATAGTCTTTGCAATAAACAGTGTTGGGAAAACCAGACATACAGCCACATGCACAAGAATGAAAAGTGGACCATTATCTTATAGCATACACAAAAATTAACTCAAGTGGATCAAAGATTTGAACATAAGACCTGATACCCTAAAACTGCTAGAAGAAAACACAAGTGTTAAGCTCCTTGACATCAGTCTTGGTGATGATTTTTTGGATTTGACACCAAAAGCAAAGGCAACAAAAGTAAAAAACAAACTAGTGGGACTACATCAAACTAAAAAGCTTCTGCACAGGGCTTCCCTGGTGGCACAGTGGTTAAAAATCTGCCTGCCAATGCAGGAGACAAGGGTTCAAGCCCTGGTCCAGGAAGATCCCACATGCCGCGGAGCAACTAGGCCCGTGAGCCACAACTACTGAGCCTGCGCGTCTGGAGCCTGTGCTCCGCAACAAGAGAGGCCGCGATAGTGAGAGGCCCGTGCGCCGCGATGAAGAGTGGCCCCCACTTGCCACAACTAGAGAAAGCCCTCGCACAGAAACGAAGACCCAACACAGCCAAAAATAAATAAATTAATTAATTAAAAAAAAGAAAAAACTTCAAAACAAAAAAAAAAGCTTCTGCACAGCAAAGCAAAACCACTAACAAAATGAAAAGACAACCTATGGAATGGAAGAAAATATTTGCAAATCATATGCAGTAAGGGGTTAATATCCAAAATATATAAAGAACTCACACAACTTAACAGCAAAGAATAATCTGATTAAAATATGAGCAGAAAATCTGAATAGACTTTTTTCCAAAGAAGACATATGGATGGCCAACAGGTACACGAAAAGGTGCTCAGTATCACCAATCATCAGGGAAATGAAAATCAAAACCACACCTGTCAGCATGGCTATTATCAAAAAGACAAGAAGTAACAAGTGTTGGTGAGGATGTGGAGAAAAGAAAACCCTTGGGCACTGTTGGTGGGAATGTAAATTGGTGCAGCCACCGTGGAGAACCGTATGGAGGGCCCAGAAAAAAATTAAAAATAGAACTACCAAAAGATCCAACAATTTCACTTCTTGGTATTTAACTGAAGAAAACAAATATACTAACTTGAAAAGATATATGTAGCTCCACGTTCACTGCAGCATTATTTACAATAACCAAGTACAGAAGCGATCCAAGTATCCATTGATGGATGAATAAAGAAAATGTAGTATATATACACAATATATCTAGTCATGAAAATGAATAAAACCTGGCCATTTGCAACATGGATGGAACTTGAGGACATAATGCTTACTGAACTAAGGGAGAGAAAGATAAATACCATACAGTCTCACTTACACGTGGAGTCTAAACAAAACACAACAACAACAAAAACCAAAAAGAAATCTAAGCGTATGCATACAGAGAACAGATTAGTGCTGTCAGAGGCGCTGGGGTAGGAGGTTCAGGGAAATGTGGGAAGGGGGTTAAAAAGTATTAGCTTCCAGCTATAAAGTCAGGGGGATGTAATGTACAGCACAGTGACTACAGTTAATAAGACTGTATTATATATTTGAAACTTCCTAACAAAGTAAATCTTAAAAGTTTTTATCACAAGAAAAAAAAATTCTAATAATGTATGGTGATGGGTTTTAACTAGACTTATTCTGGTGATCATTTCACAATATATAGAGATACCAAATCATTATGTTGTACATCTAACATTGATACAGTATTATGTCAATCATATCTAAATAAAATTTATAAATAAATAGAAATGGAATACCACCAGTATCTTTGAAGTCCCTTTTTAATTATATCCATCTCCCTCCTCTTAGAGGTAAAAATTTTACTTTCGTTTATTTCTTTTCTTTATAATTTCATCACATATGTATCCCTAAACAATGTACTTAGGTTATTCTTTCCTGTTTTTGAACTTTAACATGAATGTAATCTAATGTGTGACTTCTTCTGTGATGTGCTTCTTTTGCTAACATTTTACTTTGGCATTTATCCAAGATGATGAATTTTATAGTAGCTCATTTATTTTCACTGCTGTAAATGTTACATTATCTGAAAATATCACAATTTATTTGTTCTATTGTTGATCTATTATATACGGTAAGCAGAGAGATGGCCCCCCAAAGATGTCCATGCTCTAATTTCTGAAACCTGT